GTCACAGTGTCAAAACACCTTGTTGGAGAGCTTCCTCTCTTTCACCAGCCCTCCACCTTTCCAAGTATGATGTCCCTTTGCAAGGAACAGCCTCTCCTAGCAACATGTCTGAAGTATGAGAGATGAAGCTTTATCATCTTTGCCTCCAAGGAGCTCTCTGGCTGCACCTTCTTCAAGACACACCTGTTTGTTCTTTTGGCCGTCCAAGGGATAGATGTTTCTCTTCTCCAGCACCACAATTCAAAGATGCCAATTCTTCTGTCATCCTCACTCATTGTCCAGGTCTCAGATACATAGCAAGTGATGGGAAAGGTTACAGCTTGAATAAGGTGAGTCTTAATCTTAAAACTGACATCACTGCCCTTCAGTATTTTGGTGAGGTCCTTGGCAGTGGACTTGCCCAAAACAACGGAAACAAACCCTGATCTCCTGACTGCTAGTACCAAGGGTGTGATTGCGGATCCAAGTCCGATTAAAGCATTAGCTGTGTCAATGCTTTTTTCGTCTACTGTGATGTTTCATGCTGGCCCGGTGGGAAGGGCCTTTGTTTCCTTGATGTTGAGATGTAATCCATATTGAAGGCTGTAGTCCTTGATCTTCTGCAGCAAGTGTTTCAGGCCATGCTCACTTTCAGCAAGCAAGGTTGTGTTCTCTGCATAATACAGACTGTTGATGAGTCTCCCTCCAATCCTGCTGTCACATTCCTCTTAAGAGTGCAGCTTTATGAATTATTTGCTCAGCATACAGGCTGAATAAGTATGGAGAAAGGATACGACCCTGATGCACACCCTTCCTGATTTTAAACCATGTGGTTTTCCAAAAGAATGTCTATCTGTGTTTTCTTGACCATACAAAGGCATCTGACTGTGTGAGTCATAACAACTACAACTATGGCTACAGGTGGACGAGTGAGAACCCCAGAGCACCCAATGTGCTCGCACAGAAACTGTTCCTAGTTCAAGAGGCTGTTATGCCGACAGAGCAAGAAGGCGTTTCCTGTGCTGGCTGCTGTGATTTCTCTCCACCGCCACTGCTTGTACCACGAGCCTTCCTGAGGACTACCTGTCATGGATGCAAATCCGGACACATGGACAGAGCTGCTGCTCCTGCCAAGAAAGGCATCCACACTGCACACTGCCAGGATCTGAGAGGCAAGACGGAGCCAGTGAGCAGCCCCAGGCCTTTGAGCACACACAGGACAGACCTGGAGGGGCAGGTGGGGTTCAGAGCAAGTCACCTGTGAGTGACAGTGACCCCGGGAATATAGCATGTGAAAAGGACAATGTAGCTCACACAACACGGGGCTGGTGAGTAAGTGGTGATGACATTGAGTGACTGTCTCCTGGTGGCGCACACATGTACACACACTCCTCGTGCCACCTTCTCCTTGCAAAGACACCAACATGACTCCCTTCCCGCAGTAGGCAGAGAACAGAGGCGGGGACAGTGTACTGCGTTTGAGAGCCAGCAAACCATGCCTTCAGAAAACAAATAAAGCGTGCATTTTTAACTCCCGGCCAACAAGTACTCAGCGGCAGAAACTCAGCAGAGCATGCTGGAACCACTGTGTCATGCCCACAACATTGCAAACCCGTGCACCCACGAGGGACTCCAGAAGGCCCTCAGAAGACCTGGAACTGTCCTCAAAGAGCAAAGCCATCCTCTACAAGTGCTAGTAAAAATGCAGGAAGCTGAGGCCAGCTGGGGAAATGAAAGCAATGTGGGCTGAGAAATTAGTCAAATAGAACTGGACCATAGATGAAGACTCAAATGAGATTGTTCATTCAACCTTAGTGAGGAGAGACTCAATGTTGACATCAGAAAGTCCCTGTATATCCTTCATATTTATGGATGGATGGAGGGAGGGAGGGAGTGAGGGATGAGGGGTCCCTGTATATCCTTCATATTTATGGATGGAGGGAGGGAGGGATGAGGGAGGGGGTAGATGGATGGATGGAGGGATAGATGGAGGGATGGAGGGAGGGAGAGATGGAGGGATGGATAGAGGGAGGAAGGGAGGGAGGGAGAGAGGGAGGGATGGATAGAGGGAGGAAGGGAGGGAGGGAGAGAGGGAGGGAGGAAGGGATGGAGGGAGGGAGGGAGGGAGGGATGGAGGGAGGGAGGGATGGAGGGAGGGAGGGAGGGAGGGAGGGACAGATAATGGAGGATAGGTGGATGGGTGGATGGATGCCTGAATGGGTGAATGGATGACTGGACAGAGGATGGGTAAGTGAATGACTGAAAGGATGGATGGATGGGTGGATGGTGGATAGGTGGGTGGATAGAGGGGTGGTGAAACATGGGTGGGTGGGTGGATAGGCAGATTAGATAGGTAAGTAGCTAGGTAGATCAAGAGAGGATTGCTTGACAGATTTTATATATATATATTTAAAGGATGGTCTGTACATACTATTTAACTATTATGTACTTTTTTATTACAGAAAAAAATTCACCATACAAAACATGAGGAATATAAAGGGGGAAAGTGCTCAAAACTTTCCACCTAAGAAACAATTGCAATTTGCATTTTTTATTTCCTTTCTTCTGTATATACAACCTACTTTTATCAAAGTTGGCATCATACTGCCTATTTTTATTTCCATTTCACTTAGCACTGTGACACCGGTCAGGACTATAACGGGAGCTCTGGTTGGACAGTCCATGGAGAGTTAATCTGCTGACTCTAAGGTGACCTCCTCCAGCGGTTCAAATGCACCCGTGGCTTCAGGGAAGAAAGACAGACAACAGCCTCCCACTCCATCTGTAGCCTCTGAAACTCTCTGGAGGGTCCGCTAGGCACCAGTTCTGACCCCATGAGAGATTCCACTCTGAGCCTGTCAACAATGGCGTTTGATCCCATCAGGAGGATACAGACCTGAGAAGATTTATGGTCGAGCATAAATTACTCAACTACAGAGACTCTCTGCTTCTACCTTTTTTTAGTGTAACATGTTTTTATTCAATATTAAGCACTACAAGCTGGGCATTTAGCTGAAGCACAAACACAGGTTATGCATCATCAGAGATATTGTACCTAAAGCCACCACACAGCAGTGATGTTCCTTGACAGCTTTTTTGGGAGCTAAGCAGAGGACAGAGAGGAGAGGCCCTAGAGGACAACAGATGGAGTGACCGCTGGGGCAGGACGGGCCAGGGGCTGCAGGGCCAGCCCCAGGACAGAGAGCTGCTCCACGCCCCCAGTGGTCACCTCAACTGTGAGGCACAGATGAGGCCGAGGACCATCAAAGCATCCCAGCAGGGGAGGATCAGAGGGAGGATGTGTTGTTCCAGAAAGGTACTAAGGACCTGCTCTTAAGTCCTCTGCTCACACTCCAGGGCCAGGACGGGATCCCAGGCGAACATATACTGATAAGAGGACCGGGGACAGGTGGACAGCATGTGGGCCACTAGAGACACTGTTACTATGGAGAGGCAGGGCGGGGAGCACCCGTGGGAGGCTGGGTCCTATCTGCAATGAAAGCTCTTGTTTCAAACAGAGCATGAGATCACTCATTCACCCTTTACCTCGTAACCTCCAAAACACCACGTGGTGAGTGCTGTGGGATTTTGTAGCATGAAATAGTAGTTTGGGTAACCTAAGCTGGATATTGTCAAATTCTGGTGGGCAAAATACCAAAAATCAAGTAATTTGTATTATTTGGAGAACTCTGTGCCACTCCCCTGCTTCAACTGTGATTTGGGTAAATGTTTACAAAGATAATTCGTTTCCCTCCCACTCCAACAACTGAAACACATTTGAGACAGGGCTGGGATCCCCATGTTACAACAGCCCTCTTTCCACTTGAAGCCTGTGTCCCCCACTCCACTCATCCTTCTTCCTGGACCCTTCCCACCTGTGAGCACGTCTGGTTTCCTGTGAGCGACTCTTTGAAGGAGTACATTCTTCCTGGTGTTGCTGCCAACTTTCCAGGTCTGTCTTTGTTGGCTGGAGTTTTCACCACAGGGATGAGTCCAGTTGTTTGAATGAGGTGTTTGTTTTGAGACGTTTCATGTGGTGGTCGTGGTGCCGTCAAGTTGGAACAGACTCATTAGCAGACCTTCCAGCAGGTTCTCAGAGGCAGTAAATCTCACAGGAGGAGACTGTCCATCCTCCCGCAGTGTTGCACAGATATTTCATAACACCAAAGATAAATGTAAATTAGTATTTCAGATTCCCATGCCAAAGCCTTTCCACATCCCTGTGTCTCTGTGGCCACCAGCCTACACCAGAACCCCAGCAACAGCTCTGGTACAGACCAGTAGGAAGGTAGCCTGAGCCCACACAACGTCTGCTGCCCTCCACGGACAGGCCAGCAACCCCTCTTGTCTTGGTGTGCACTGCCCCCATGCTGGCTTCTCTGACCTGTTTCCTTTGGGCTTCTCTCTGCCTCAGCGCAATGGCCCTTCCCTCCTTTCCGGAACAAGCCTGGCGACCAGGACTCGGTGGGGATGGGTACCAGGCCCCAGTCAGGGCCTCAACTCCTTCTCATCTCCCAGGGAACACCACTCCCTGCCCCCTCCTCCCCACCCACCCCCCTCTGCAGCCATCCTCCTTTCCTGGGCCTGCACTTCCGGCCACACTAGGGAGCTGGTGGCTCAGTGGAAGAGTTTTCACCGTCCACGTGGAAGGCTCACTTCCCTCGTGCACAGCCACTCTCATCTGGGGACGCTGGTGTGTGGTTATGATGCAGAGAGTTCATTTCAGCGGAGCTTTCAGACAAGAAAGAAAGGACTGGAAATCTGTTCCCAACATCACAGATGGTCGGAGTCACTTCACAGGACAACACAGAACTGGACAGAATGGACCATAGCTGGGGACAATCTCCATGGCAGCCAACAACAAGTAGCTTCCAGTGACCGCTTGCCTGTTACTGACCCCCACCCAGGCCTCCCCAGCTAAACCACCAGATTCACAAGTTATAGGCATTAGTTTCCGGAAGAGGTCCCTTGGAAGAAGCGTGGCAGTTTCCTGTGCCGGGCAACGCTGAACACCTATAATCATGCAGTCAGATGATGTTATCTGGGATACACTAGGAAACAAGCAATTTTGTTCTTTCAAAATAAGAACGAAGACTCAAGGCTTTTGTAGAAATGAATACAACTTGACTGGACTGTGTAATCGGTCATCCTGTCCCTTGGCAAACAGTCAGTATGCCACTATCAAAGAGGAGAAAGGACAGTGCTTCCTGTATATGAAGGTCATAGAACGAGCAGCTTTCCCAAGACGTCTCTGGGAAAGGGTCAGGCTCAATAAAAACTATGAGAAAGCATCGGAGCAAATAGATGAAAATCTGATTTACTGGCCACGTTTTCTTCGGCACAAGTGCAAGCAGAGATTCACCAAGATCACTCAGTATCTAATTCGAATACGAAAACTTACACTAAAGCGACAGAAGAAACTTGTTCCTTTGAGTAAGAAGGTAAAAAGGAGGGGAAAAAGAAGAGAGGAAACGGCATTAATAGCTGCTCAGTTGGACAACGCCATTGAAACGGAATTACTGGAAAGATTGAAGCAAGATACGTATGGCGACATCTACAACTTCCCCGTTCATGCTTTCAACAACGCCCTGGAACAGCAGGAGGCAGAGAGTGACTCTTCAGAGGCTGAGGAAAAAGATGAAGATGATAATGATGAAGATGAAGGACAAAGAGAATTTGTGGAGGATGATGAGGTGGATGAAAGTGACATAAGTGACTTTGAGGATATGGATAAACTGGATGCCAGTAGTGATGAAGATCAGGAAGAGAAATCTTCCAGTGAGGAAGAGGAGAAGGCCTTTAATGCTAAACACAAAGGCAAAACACCTCTGAAAGGCCCTCCACTGAGAAAATGAGCCTATGTAGAAATGAGTATGAACAGGAAACAGACCCCACAGCCAAAGTCAGAACCACGTGATTTCTAAACAGGATCGAACATTTTTTATTTTCATTTTGGTATCTTAAACCCATGTCCAGTTTTTGCTTTTTCATACTATTTTTAACACTATTTATGCCAATTTTTGAGGGCCAAGAAATATGGAAAGGAAGTATAAAGGAATGTCTTAAATTGTGAGCAGAGTATTTTTTACAGTATTTTTGACATGTGATATAGTAATACCTTGAGCTCAAGAAGCTTAACAGCTTGAGGTGGGGAAGAGGTTGTGGTTGTAAATACTTCTAAATTTGATGGGTAACCCAGTGTTTCCTTAGTGGATGTCATGTCTGCGTCCCCACCCCTCCCAATTTAAAAATTTCCCTATTATTGTGGGAAGTAAAGGAAATAAAGAAAAGGACGGAACTTTAAAAAAAAAAACAAGTTATAGGCACTAAAGGGGTGGCTGGATTTGGGGGTACTTCAGCAGCCAATGGAACAATGTGCCCATACCTGTTATTCAGAGACAGAACACCTTACACAAGTTCCTAGTTTGAGAATGCAGGAGAAAAACAAAAATCAGAAGACATGTAAACACGGGCACTGAGAGGCCAGGGCTGGTGGCGCAGAATTGCCAAGCCACCCCCAGGAAGCTCCCGTGAAAGTGGCTCGGGGCTGCAGGGCAGCCACGTGGTGCTCCGGCCACAGTGCCCTGCGGAAACCCAGCTACTGGTGGAAACACAGAACCTGCTTCGCTTTTGTTTTCAGTTTGGGGTGTGTTAAAATAAGAAGGATGGAATGTCCTGGGGAGTAGAGAGAGGAGATAATCACGCACACGGTCCTGGGGGCCAGGCCGACGGAAGAAGGCAGGTAGTGGACGAGGCTGGCCACGGAGTGCGGAATGTAGAGGACGAGGAAGTAGCTCATGAGCTTCACGGCCCCCACGTGGGCTGCCGTCTGCGGGCTCCACACGCCAGTGGCGTTCCTGCGCATCTTCCGAATGTGCCTCTGCAAAGAGTTTATCAGCAAGGACGCCGAGGTCACGTTGAGGACGAACTGGGGCAGCGCGTTGAGGAGCAAGGAGGCCACGAGAGACAAGACATCCTCGTTGATGTCAAACACCGTGCTGTTCTTCTTGGTCCCGAGCTCAGGGAGGGGCGAGACCTGGCTGAGCACGAAGAAGAGGAGGGTGGTGAGGGCGGGGGTCAGCACGCAGGCCAGCAGCAGCCGGGGGGTCCTGAGGGACAGATGCTGCTTCAGCAGGAGGAACACCGGGTGCTGGAAGTTGGTGATCTTCACACAGTACAAGGTGTTGAGCAAGGTTACAAGCCACAGGGTGCTAGAGTCCAAGAACATCCAGGACAACAGGAAGAAGGTGGACACGGAGACTGACCTCTCGGTGCCCGGGGCCATCAGGAAGCAGGTCATGTTGAGCAGGAACAGGCCCAGCATGAGCAGCCGCGCGGAGGCCAGGCTGAGGAGGATCTGATCGGAGGGCGAGAGGCTGCGCCTGGCCAGCCAGGTCCTGTAACCGACAGCTGTGATGAACAGATTCACGAGGAATCCCGCGACAGTGACAATGAACGAGGCGACGATGGCCGAGAAGAAGAAGGCAGGATACATCTTCTCACGGAAGAGCCGGCAGTGGCAGTGCTCAGGGCGGAGCACAGACGCCCCACAGCAGGACACTGGGCGCTGGGTCCAGGGTCGTCGGGAAGGACTCTCCAGTCATTCTCCTCAGCGAGCGAGGGAGCTATTAGTGGGCCTTCAGCCAGCTGCTTTTGCTGAGATGCAAATCTCCTAAGGATCATGTTACCGTTTCTTCATTCATGTCCTGTTTTCCTTGGAAATACCCGAGAGCAAGCCAGGGGAGCCTCCTCCACAGGGCTCCAAGGACTCAGGGCAGGGGGGCTGCTCGAGGGCTCCGAGGACTCAGCTCCAGCCCAGCTCCAGCTCTGTCCTGTTCTCCCCGGAACTCCCCACCTCGCTCCGACCACCCACCTACCCACACATGCATGGTCTGTGGGGGTCCAGCTTCTCTCTCCCCTGGGCTGTCACTGCCACAGCCACAGCCATCTTCTCCACTGTCACTGTGCCCAGGCCAACAGGATTCCTCCGTAACTCGGCCCATCAAAACCCAATCTCACTGCCAACATCTCCCTTCTGACCCCAGACAAGCCTGCAGCACAGAGGACTTCCCACCGAGTTCCCAGGACCCCAAACCTTTACACAAGCAGTTTGTTTCATCTCTCAACCAAGGCACCATTGATGGGTTCGAACTGCCAACCTTTTCATTAGCAGCCAAATACCTTACCCACAGTGGCACTAGTGCTTCTCCTTGGTACTGATGTTGTTGTGTACTGTCAAGCTTGAACCGACACCCCCCGCCTGCCCCGTGGCATTTCAGAGGCTGTAAATAGCCTGGAAGGAGACAGCTCATCTTTCTCCCATGGAGCTGCTGGTGAATTTGAACCACAGATCTTTGGATTAAGAGCGTGATTCCTTTCTGTTAAGCCACCAGAACAAAGTACAGTGGTTTGTAATCACCTAATAGTTGGGTCCGAGGACGTCACACTCTCTTTACAAGGCTTTTCCTAACTGAACCTACCTCTCACTATGACCCCACCACTCTGTTTAGCTCGAGACACACACACCCCACCTAAAACCCCACCCACTGTGTCCTTCTCATTCAAGGGGTGACTCAAGGAACATGCACATGTGAAGAATCACTACATTCGGGGTGTCCAGATCACTGGCACTGTGCTAGAACTGTTTTAGAATACTTGTGGGGGAAAAGTCAGACCACCATGTGTTTCGTTACACGTCTGCATTTACAAGTAGAACACACATGGCTATTTCCTGCTGGCACTGAACCATCCATCAGGCCGCCCCAAGGCCAGAAACACAGGAATGCTTTAATGGTAAAGCTGAATGGGCAGGTATCACATTGCCTGACTTCCTGCGATGCCCCAGGTCAAGGGCCAGTGACATCACTGGGGACCACTGGTGAGGGCAGAAGGACAGCATCTCATATCTGTTCAGGGAGGTGGATGAAACCAAGGAGCAATCCTGGACGCACTACAAATTACCAAACTAGCAACACAACACTTTGGAGATCCTATTACCAAATGCCAGTAGGTGTAGACAAGAAAGACATGCTGAGGTAGGAAATTAACTGAGCCCAGAAGAGGGAAGTCAAGTCAAGTTCCTTTGAAAGGCAGATGACAGGAAGACCAGCCTTGAGGAAATCCCAGGCCCTGATAGAAGTCTTTGCACAAAGCTCCTAGGAGACCCACCTCAATCAGACAAGCTAACAGAATAAGCATGCGAGGCCACGCTGAAGGGATGTGCGCTTCACACCACAGATCCCACGGCCTCCACCCCGCCAAGTGGACCTAGAGGTCCAATAGCTTAAGAGAAGATTGGCAGCTAGAACTCACCACCACTCAGCCATAGACAGATAAGAGTCAGCTGCTGCAGCCAGTTACAGCCTCAGAAACTCCACGGGCAGTTCTGCTGTGTCCTCTGGGGTCGCCGTGACTCAGAACCAGCCGAGTGGTAGTGACCTTGGCTTCTGGTTTTTATCAGAGGTTACACTTCATTAAAGTAGCTAAGTTGAAATATTAGACATTCAATGTTTATCAGTTGTTGTTGTTGTTATGTGCCGTCGAGTCGAAATCAACTCACATTTGACCCTCCAGTGGGTTTTCACTGGTTGTAAATCTCATGAAGGACTATTGCCCACCTCTCTCCCAAGGAGCTGCGGGTGGATTCAAACCATCTGCCTTTAGTTTGGCAGCGTAACTTCTTATCACTGAGCCACCAGAGCTCCCTGAATGTTTAACTAGACAACTTCTTATTGTTGTTATTGTTATAGGCCATTGAATCACTTGTGGCTCATAGCGACCCTATGTACAACAGCCCTGAACCCTGCTCTGTCCTGTGCCAATCTCACTGCCTCTGACACACTTACTCCCATTACTCCAATCACTGAATCCACCCATCTCACCGATGACGGTCTTCCTCTCTTTCTCTGTCCCTCCACCCTCCCAAGCATGACGTCCCTCTCCAAGGACTGATCCCGCCTTACAATATGCCCAAAGTATGTTAGACGAAGCTTCAGAATCCTTGCCTCCAAGGAACAGCCTGGTAAGTGCGAGATAATAAATGTCTCAAGAGACCATGGCCTACGCTCTTCCTGGCCTTAAGTTTACGATTCTGCCAAACCTAACCGGCTGGTCTGTGATGGTCCAGCTTATTTATGCAGAGACTGGTCACTCCACTCTGCAAACAGGGTGCGTAAAACCACCTTCGAAAATGCATTGCCAGTGAGTCTGAACTGAGCCATGGCTCACCCTCCAGCTGGTGTCTGAAGGCTGAAAGTTGCACAGGAGAAGTTTTGTCACCTTTCGCCCAACGAGGAGCAGGTGCATTCGAGCCACCAGAGGTGCCGGCAACTCGATCAGCAGCTCAGCTCCCAGGGACAATGCTGCCACCTTACAGGATGGCTGAGAAGCCATACTCTGCCAGGAACACATGGCCAATCACACAAGGCTGGGCTGAGGGCAGCCTCACCACCACCAAGAGGGGCCTGCGCGGGACCACGTTTTCTGGATCAGCGGTCTCTGCACTGAGCACCTTTCCTCCCAGGGGAGAGTGAGAACTCCGAAGGGGGCACACGCAGCAGGCAGAGTCCAGCGGCAGCACTGCAGGTGGAGGGAACCAGAGCCCAGGGTCAGAGGGCAGCGTGGGCGTGCCAGCCCTAGGAGGTGGGGAGAGACTCAAGAATCTCTGCGTAGAAAGGTTGCTGGTCTCGGAGCGAAGAGCTGGGACACTCGCCCAGGACAGTGGCTGTCACAGTCAAGAAGGAGCCGGGGGCTGTGCTGGTTGGAAAACGTCCTGCCTGGCCAAACTGAGCAGCTTGCTAAGAAACTGCATTGCCAACTCTAAGGCACACAGGCACACAGTTCGAATCCACCTGCTGCCCATGGGACAGGGCAATCTCTGGAAACCCACCACAGAGCCGGCTGTGAGTCAGTTCTGACTGCGGCACATAACAGCTGCAGCTGCAGCCCGTTCATTACTCGCCAGTCGGTCCTGTTGGTGAACTGTAGCCCATTACACCCTAACGATCATGTAGTTAATGGAGGGAGGTCGGTTCTCCACTGCCCAGGCAGTGACTTATCAAACCCAGCAGAGAAGGAGAGAGCAGCAGGAGAGGTGTAGCTGGTGTCAAACTGCTGAAGAAGCAGAGTCGGACGTCACACCTCTACCTCCCAGCAGCTAGCTCTGTGCCAATCCTGACCCTTGTCTCCCTCCAGAATGTGGACAGACCCTGACGTGAGATTCCAGGGGACATCGCAGAGTTAAGCACAGTCAGAGGAAACGTGTGTGGAAGAAGTTGTTGCTGGAAGGGCCGGCATGAGAAAGGATTAACTGACTCTTCTCCCCTTCACATGATAATCAAATATTCGGTCCTTGCCAATCTAATAAGGGTAAGAAAACATGGTGCCTGACTGGCCAATCACATCTGGACTGGAAGGAGTTCTGAGGGGGCTCCATGCTCTAGGTGTCCCTGAATGTGTGACCCTCCTCATAGGCCTGTCCCTTGGGTTAGCGCTTGAGGGACGAGAAGGGACAAGGAGACAGTCAACAACTCCACAGTGAAGGACAGTTCCACCCAGACGACGGGAGCACCCTGGGGCCAGTGCTGCATGTGCAGGTGAGGGCCTGCAGTGGGCATGGCAGCCAGAGGAGCCCCGCTCACAGACCTGCACCCCAGGAGACGTGACCTGGGCATGGGCACGCCCACTGCAAAGGGGGCTGGAGAAGCAGGGGGTCTGGGCCAGCACTCACTGTTCACAAGGGCACTCTGCTGTATCTGAAGAGGCATCTCGCTCAGTGACACAGGCGAGTGGGTGCTGCTGCATCTGTGCCCGATCCATGAAGCTGCGTGTCTGAGAATGGGAGCCACGTGTACTGTGTTTGGTGTTCATGCAGTGCCAGATAAATGTCTGTGATACATACGGACAAGCAAGGAACAGAGTGACGTGGAAAGTCAGTTCATTGCCAGCAGACCCTCTCCTTCTCCATGACCCATTGGCTGGGCAGTCGGCGTGCAAACCTGAACAGCCCCAGGATGTCCAGAGTCCTCTCTCCTGGAATATTTGGCAAAGATGGAGCTCCAAGCCAGACAGAACTTTGGGGAAGCCAATACTAAATCTTTGTAATAAAGCGAATGCTGTTTCAGGTACAAGCTGGAGTTCACCCTGAGGCACTAACACAACCCTTCAGGGTTTACCGGATTCTTGCATTTGCTGACCCCTCCCTCCTGAGTCAAGGAAGGTTTTCAATAGAAAGAGCTTGGCTTTATTTGCATTAAATCTCTTTGTGATTTACTGCCTGATAATTTTCAATAAAGATACAGGGAAGCTGGAATGGGGGCCCTGCAGTCAAACTGCTGGCCAGCTGTTCTTACTCCCTGTTCTCTTTGCTGGTTGTCTGTCTCAATATTAATAATGATAAAAATACTTTACCCTCGGTCTGCAACAAGAACCCACTGCCCTAGTGTCTCTTCCAGCTCCCAGTGACCAAGCAGGATGGAGCAGAATGCTCCCCCCCCC